TCTGGTGTCCCAGCTGGTGTCACACCTGCGGGGTGGCGCTGGCCGGGTTCATTCCCACGTGCCTGTCCTAATGAACATCCCCGCTAATTAGCAGAGCCCTTGGCTGCTGCTCCCGGGACTGTGGGCGCTGCTCTCACTCTGAGAGAAGGCGACACCGAAAATCGGGGCGGGTGTGACAACCACGAGCTGTTCCCGGTGACACCGGTGAAACCCTAAAACCTCCGTGGGGGTGATTTTCCCGATGGGACCAGCTGGGAGGGCGATCCTCCTCTTTCAGTGACAACCACGAGCCGCCCCAGTGACACTGAAAAAAAACCCTAAAACCTCTCCGGGGTGATTTTTTTCCGATGGTAGCAGTCAGGAGTGGGATGCTCCTCTTTTGATGACAACCACGAGCTGGCTTGATGGAACCGGGGAAACTCTAAAACCTCCCTGGGGTGATTTTCCCGATGGGAGCAGCCGGGAGCGGGATGATCCTATTTCGGTGAATGTGACAACCACGAGCTGCCCCCATGGCACCGGGGAAACCCTAAAACCTCCCTGGGGTGATTTTTTCCCTGTGGGAGCAGCCGGGAGGGGGATGATCCTCTTTTGGTGAATGTGACAACCGCGAGCTGTCCCCGGTGAAACCCTAAAACCTCCCTGGGATGATTTTCCCGATGGGAGCAGCCGGGAGGGGGACACAACCGTGAGCTGCCCCCGTTGCACCGGTGAAACCCCAAAACCTCTCCGGGGTGATTTTCTCCCCGAGAGCAGCCGGAAGGAGCCGTTCCTGTCGCAGCCCGGCTCGGTGCCGGCGCTCCGGGCCGCGCGTGTTCCCGCACGAGTGCTGCGGGCGGAGGCGGCGGCTTCTCCCGTTCTTGTGCTGCTGCTGCCGCTGCCCATCGCCGCCGCTCCGCTCCCCCGGAGCCGCTCTCCCCACGTGAATGCCGAGCGGAGCGGGAGCACGGCTGCGGGGGAAGGTGTGAGGATGTGGGATGAGGCGGGGGGCYGCTCCCGATGGTGCTCGCGGTGCGCACAGGCGCCCACCCACCCTCCAAACCCCGCTGTTTCGTAACCGGGCAGCGAACCCCCCGCTCCTTCCTCGSAGGGGTGTTTTCCCTCCCTGGGGATGTCGGACCCGGCGCCCATGGGAGATGAGCACCCCTGATCTGTCCCCTCGGTGTCCCCCACGGGAGCGGGATTGGGGCTGCCAGTGGGGGAAGCTGCTCCTGTGGGGTCGCGGGGAAGCCGGGGACCCCCTCGTGAGTGGGGCTGGGAGGTGTGGGGGCTCTTCAGCTGCTCTTCCCTGYGCTGGGAAGGTTCTGGATTCCTCAGGGACGGGAATTGTGGGTTCAGTCGATCCMCCTTGCAGCTGGTGACCCCCCAGACTTATTTGTGGGTGCTGAGAGGGTTGGGGACCCTTTAGGGGACACTGAGCACTCGGCGACCTTTGGGATGGTGAGAAAGGGCCAGGGACCCTTCAGGTGACCCCAATCTGCTGTGGAGGGACAAGGGAAGGCTCCTGCCAGTGGGGACAAGGACAGGACATCAGCGAGTGGCCCAGGACAGAAAAACAAAGACCCCAAAAACCCCAATGCCGAGGGMACCTCTTCAGCTGCGGGGACCCCTYAACCCCGGGGATCCCTTCACCCCTGTGGACCCCACTGCCCCTGGGGACCCTTCACCCACGGGGACCCTTCATCCCTGGGACCCCTAAACCTCGGGGATCCCACTGCCCATGTGGACCCCACTGTCGCTGTGGACCCCACTGCCTTGGAGACCCC